GGATTTTTCCAAAATTAAAGTTGCAAATAACCTCAGATGCAGTTAGTCCCTTACTCTTAATAAATAAGAAGCATCAAGAATCTCTGTGGTATTGAGATGCACAGAACTATTAATTCATTTCAGAGTCTATAAAAAAAACCAAAAAAAACAGTCCTTTGTTACTGCAAAAAAATCAAAGTTTCTGTTCTTAGAAGAGTGGCCTAGTGGTGTGTTCAAGTGCCAAAAGAAGCAGCAGGAGGCTTTTACTGCATCCCAAACCACTGTTCTTGATCTGCCCACTGAGCTGCTTCACTGTCACTGCCTTCCAAGTCCCCCTCTTCTCCACTTCCCTCCATGTCATCCACATCTTCTTCCTGAGTGGCATCTGTTGGACTTTCCTCTTTTTCCATTTTCTGCAATCCTTCTAGCGACTTCTGATCATTTGGATCCAAGCTGAAGAAAGGAAGAAAAGGTAAGCATTGTCCTGAAACTTCTTTCTCTTTGTGACCTTAGTGTAAAGAGCAATAATAAAATCTCATCCTGTTGCCTGCACTTCCTGTTTAACATCATCAGGAAGCTTATTTTAGATGATGATGCAACTTCCCCTTGAGCAACTGTAGCACTGAGTATGAAATCTCTTTATAAAACAGTTCTGATCCCCAAGAATGCATTTATCTAAACATCCCACTCTTCCAGAAAACTTAGTCACCTCTTCCAACAATGCTAATTATAAAGTAACATGAAAGCAGTAAAAATTTAAATGACTCTGGCTAAATATAACCTATGCAAGCAAAAACCAGCTGACCCATTTAAGCTATACAAGTTTGCAATGGACATAATGTGCTGGAGTTAAGGCAAATTAAAGATGTTGCAATCAAAACATGGGAATATTTAACAATGTGATACCCTAAAATAGAACTCAAGATTATGTTAAGTTGAATCACACTATTAAAATTTATCAAATAGCTCATTTTTATATGCACCTTCTAGTGTAAAGGAATGGATCTCAAAGTCTGACTATATAATAATTAATAACTATAAATAATTCCATGCCTTAATCCTTTTGTTAGTCAAGGAATCACAAGCCTAGTGACATATTTAGCATTAATACAGGCCCTACATTTTGCATTTGTCATTTCAAAGTCTTAAGACCAGGATGTCATTGCTGTAGTTTTGCTTGTTTTAAGGGAGATTGATATAAAGCCACGTTTGATTCTCATCTTAATCAATTAATAGCTCCTAATTATTGGTTCTTCCAAGGCTGCTGCAGTCTCAGGGTGTGCTTTACCTCAGGGCTATGCTGTACTGGTCCATGGCTTCCTGGTACTCATTGACAGCCACAAGGAAATCCCCCAGGATCCGGTGCAGCACGCAGTCGCTCTGGTTGGCCAGTGCATTCCTCAGCAAGGCAATCCCATCTTCATACTTCTGTTCTCTACCTGTTCACAGGCAAAGCTACAGTTTTAGTTAATCATTGAGACAAATTTACAAAAAATCACAGCGTTCACAGTCTTCCCAACACAAGGCTATTTGTCCCTCCAGACCTGTCAGAAGGAAAGACAGCAGTGCTTCGCTTCTTGCACTTCACTTCTAACTCTAAACAATGATTTTTTTCTGCAATAGCTGTTACACCCACAATTACATCTACTTTGAAGTAAAAACACTGTGTTTGCAAATTTTTAAAGTGCTGGTGTAGTATCAGCTGCTGGATGAAATAAATTCCTGTGATTTCTCCTTCAGGATAGAAATGATAAATTCCTGGACTGCAACAACACTGTTCCATCCTTCACATCCACATGGCTGCAGAACACCCATCCCTGTACAAGGGTAAACAAACCAACATGGGGAAAAAAGGGAACTTACTGAGAAGTTCTGCTTTCTTTACCACAGCTTTAATGTAGTCTGGTCTTTGTGTGAGTGCTTTATCCAGCAATGTTTTTGCCTTTTCCTGCGTGACTGGGTCCTCCAGGCAGACTGTGGCCAGCAGAGTGAGGGTCTGGGCGTTTGCCCCCAGGGTTTTGTACACGTTATTTGCCATCACCATGGCTTCACGGATGCTGTTGGATGCCAGGTAACACTCGATGAGGCCTGGTGGTGTCAAATGGAAACATTTCAGGGGTTGAGTCAGCACCACAGGCACTCCACAATTATTTTGTACTTAGCAGCACTCAGATGCTGAACAGCTGACAATCCAATAAGCAAATATAAATTGCAATCGAGAAAGTGAATCTATGCTTGTCAACATACCTGTTCTACAGATAATTGACTTGATGTTTATTAATAGTCTGGCACTGAAAAAACCCAATCCTAAGTACACCTCATCTAACATTTTTGTCCAATTCCAATATTGAGATATTGATACTTCATTTGGACTCTTCACCACTCACTATCTACTTGAAGCTGCTGCTGAGATCAACAAGATTTAACTATTTAAACAAATACAACAAAACAAAGCTCACAGTAGAACTAACCATAAGTTAATGACATCATCCAAAAATGAGCTGCCCAAAACACCTAAATTTGTTTACACCCAGATTAAACCAAACAAAAAAACCAAGAAAACTCCTTTCTGACAATCATTCTTACAAACCCACGCATTCTTTCTGATTGCTTGGACCACATCACAGGTTTTGGGGTAATAATGATTTACCAGAAAGTCGACATGAGGACAGAACTGCTGTCTATTCCTTTGTCTCATCAGAACAACACCAGCCCTCTCCCAGGGTGACTCTGAGCAGCTTTGCAGCCGTGGCTCACCTTCGTAGCAGTCGAGGCGGCACGGTGCCAGCCTGATGGCCTCACGGAAATGAATAATGGCCTCCTGCACCCTGCCCATGTTCCTGAGAGCAGCTCCTTTCAGCAGCAGGGCTTGGACACTGTTGCTGTTCAGCTGGATAGCTTTGGCTCCCAAGTATAAGGCACGGGAGTATCGTTTGCTGTAGAAACTGTGACACCTACAGAAAGAGGAGAGGGATTGTAAACTGCCTGCAGTGCCTGTGCTTAGTCATGTGGGTTTTGAACTTCTTGCATTTGATGTTTAGAAAAACCCTTCTTTAGCAGTTTTAAAACACCCATTATAAATATTAAAACTGTTACTGCTATTTAATGTATTCTTGGTATGGCACAGGTCAGGTAACTCTAACAGATTTAAACATAGAGAAAACAATCATGACAGATATTTACAGAGAAATAATTTAAGTTACCCCAAGAACAGAACAGATAGGATGGAAAAGCTCCTTCTGAACAAAACAAATGGAACCCACTGTGTCAGCTGCAACCCACCACATTCAGCAACTGAGAGCTGAGGTGAGAAAGGGAAGAAAACAACTCACCCAGACACCACCCAGGGCTCTGCGTGTTGGTCAGAAATATTGAAGAGCCGGCAGCCCAAGTTCTCCACATCCTCCAGCCGACCCTCACGTGCCAATAAATAACCATAAACATCCATTCCTAAAGAGACACGTTGGAGGATCAATTCTCAAGAAATGGAAAGCTCATTCACAAGAAAAAAACAACACTAAAACCACAAACACCTACTTTAAACTGTGCAACTACCAGAAAACGTTCAAGACATGCAGTTTCTAAATGTCAATTCTCAACTGAAAGCTGGGTAAACAATATACAATATTCCACTGCATGGAGCTGTTACTCTTCAGGTCAACCTTCTTACAGGATTTACTCACCTTTTATTAGGTAAGGATCCAGCATTTGTGCTTGTTCAAATTTTAGGATAGAGTTTTTATTATCTCCAGCTCTGAAGTACAGGTCTGCTAAGCTCCCCAGCAAGTCCACATTATCCCTCAGCAATGACTTCTTCTCTAAAGAGCTTAAAGAGAAAAAAAATGTCAATTACTTATAAATTACATTTTGAACATCATTATAGGTAAGAATTAATATATTATTTGATTGCACCACGCTCTTTCAAGTCTTACCAAATGGTGTTGATTGCTCTGGTGTTGTCTCCAGTATGAACAAAGGCATAGGCCTTGATCCACACAGAGAGCCAATCCAAGTTGGGAATGCTCTGGATGATATTGATGGTCATGGAAGCCACTTCTGCTCCTTTCACCGACAGTGAGAGCAAACCTGTTTAGAAGGGTTCACACATCAATCTCAGATACAAACTGGCTGAGGAGCAAAAACTCAGTCCCTTGACAAGCAAAAGGGCTTGTTACAATTTATTTAATGTGGGTGTGACATACAACATGTAAATACAAGACAGTTACAGGTCCCAAGTGGAATTCAAATTCAAATTTTAACACTGCTGACCACTGCAATGCTCACAGCATGCAGACACCCACCTAGGATGGCATCCAGGGCCAAGGGGCACTGCCTCAACACTTCCTTGTAGCTTGTCACCGAGGAGCGTTCCTGACCTGCCTTCTTGTAGAGATTTGCCAGCATCATATTGATCTGCAGACAACAGAAATGAGGGGACAGCCAAGAATGAGAAAGAAGAATCACTAAGAAAGGTCACTACTCTGTATTCAAGCCTGCCTGCCTCTGTTCTCAGCCTGCCTTTCTGAGAACACTCTAAGGTATAAAATGAAAATTGTGGCTTCTTTCTGAGTACACAGATAAAATCTACATTCTTTTGTACTTGCACTGTGCACCTTGAAATCTGTATTTGCATCAAAGAAGTCAGAAGATGGGCTCATATATGATGCCAAGAAGGATCTGCACATCCATTAATCAGTCGCTTCCAGGAAAATCTCTGTATCCATGGAAGTGTTTGAATTAGCTTAGCAAGGCAGAGAAAGTTTCTATTCAGCTCCTGAATGAAGCCATGATTGATTAAAGAAATCATCTGAGCTCTACACAAGGCAAGTAGCTGGTTTCTGCTAAAGCACTTTCATTTACTGCTGTTTCTAGGCAAAAAGTTTGCTTTTCTCAACCTTTTCATCTTTTTCTGCTCTGTAACTTGATCTTTGAACAAAACACTCTGACAACTACTGAAGTTCAAGCTGTGCACACTTTTAGGACAATTTAACATGAAAAACAGTTGACTGATCTGATGTGTTAATCTTTTAAGCCCTTCAGAGTAACAGAGCCAGCAAGCAAAGACTCCACAGCTTTGGCACTGCAGACCACAAAGGGATCTAAATATTTAACATTGTCTAAACTGTTGTTGAAAAGGATTAAAAGATTTTTACAAGATGGAGCACTGGCAAGCCTTGTATTTGCCAAAGTCTTCAGCCTTTCAAGGATTTTACATTGCTCCAACTACACAGGAAATTAATAAAAAGGCACAAAACATTTAACTCCTTTTGGGGTTTTTTAAGTTCTTTCTAATAGTGGAAATACAAATCAGGATGATTTTAAAGAAAAGGATTCAAAACAGCAATTTAAAATTAGGAAAAGTGACCAAACAATATTTAACTACTGAAAAAGAAATAATGACATTATACCTATATTCTGTGTCCTGCCCTAAAGATATACAAGAACAAGAAGCTGTGACAAGAACCTGCCAAAACTCACCTTTGGAGTTCTCTGCCTGGAGGGAATCCCATCAAGAATAGCAATGGCATCTTTATCTTGCTTCAGCATTGTGTAACACTCAGCCATTTTGTATTTCACCTCAATTTCTGATGGTAAACACTGAAACAAAACAGAAAGATTTTAATAAGATGTTGGTTTAATCAGGTATGAAATTTTTAATATAGTTTCCTCATAAATATTTACAGTGTGTTGAAAAATATCCAGTGCAAGTAAGATAATAATACAATTTCCTGCTAGTTCATATTGTTCCTCCCTTCAAATTAAAACTCTGAAGTACACATACAGAAAAATTTTATGTTGGGACAACATTTTAAGTTTTGCATTAGAAAACACCACACAGATATTATCAAGAGCCATAAATGCCAGGTTTATTTGACACAAAAAATGCAAAACCTAAGGTATTTAAAAGAAGTAAAAGTGATTATCAGTGAACATGGATAGTGAGGGACTTGGCAGGGACTCGATCTGAAGGATCTTTTCCAGCCTCAATGGCTCTGTGGATATTGAGTCAAGCAACATTAAGTGGAAGGGAGAATATAATCACTTTATGCAGCACGTTGTCAACTCTTAAATACCTGGCTTTGAGGAGTGGATGCAGCATTCCCAGTAGAAGGTCTGACTTTGGAAGTTTTGCTTAAGGCTTTTTTCTGCTGTAAGGCCATGGTGTACTTGCTGACAGCATTCCTATATTCCTTGTCATGGAAGAGGGAATCTGCATGATAGACAAGGAGCTGGTACTTCTGAGATGGAGAGAACAGTTCCCTAGGAGAAATGCAAACACAAAGACTGAGATCAGCTGGCTGCACAACAACCAAACCTTACAGATCCAAAGGATTTGTAGCTTTGTTTGGCTTGGGTTTCCAACTGCTGTAGCTTTTTTACTACACTGGAAGGACATTGGGTAACAGGTACTGGCTTTTCACACAGGGATTATCTCAGCAATTCCTTTTATCTGTAAATAAACAAATCCAACAGCCACTCCTGACACTTCATCAGCAACAACAGCTCAGTGTTTGGCTGCCTGGCCACTGCCCCCATCCTTCCCAAAACAAGCCACAGGCTGTCAATGTCCATTACATGGAGCCAGCTTTCTCTTAGGATTTTACTCACCTTTTATTAGGATCCAGCAATTTGCCAGTTCAAGTTTTAGAACAGAGTTTTGTTTGAATAGACTTAAGTTTAAAAGGCAAGCCAGCTTCTCGTGCAGCTGTTTTGATCCTAATCCATATTCCCACATTAGAACACTCCTAGTATGTGTTTAGACCAAATGGCCTAATTATGGCCTTCCAGGACCTGAAGGGACCCAACAAAAAGCATGGAGAGAGAATATTTACAAAGGCCTGGAGTGACAGGACAAGGGGGAATGGCTTCACACGGACAGAGGGCAGGGTTAGATTGGATATTAGGAAAAATTCTTCCCTGTGAGGAGGCCCTGGCACAGGTTGTCCAGGATTGGAAGTGTCCAAGGCCAAGCTGGACGGGGCTCGGAGCAACCTGGGATAGTGGAAGGTGAAACAAGAGAGGGATAGCTCATGGTAGGAGGGGTGAAACAAGACAATCTTCAAGGTCCTTTCCAACCTGAACGATTGGGTGATTCGCTGCCAGGACACCCTCGCTGAAGCGAGCACCCAAAGGGACGCTGATGCTGACACCCAAAAAGACAAACTCCATTCCCGACAGGAACAGAGGGCAGGACGGGGACAGCAGAGGGAAATGCCAGCGCCAGGATACGGACAGGGACACCCCAAAAGCGGCCCGGTCCCCCCGCCCTCAGCGCCCCGCGCGCTCCCCGGGTTCAACAACTCACGGGTTGTTGCCGCTCATGGTGAGGAGCAGCCCGCTGAGCAGCCGCACGTTGGAGTGCAGCCCGGCGGCCGCCATCTCCCGCACGTGCTCCACCACACTCATGCTGCCGCCGGCGGGGGGAAGCGGGAGAGAGAGACCGAGCGAGGCACCGGGCACGGAACTGCTGCCACCGCCGCCGCCGCCGCCGCCGCCGCCACTCCAAAATGGCGCCACCGAGGGGTCCTCGCGCGCCGCCGCCTGCAGGCGCCCAAGGCACTGCCGGAGCGAAGGGACAGGCGCGCGGAGGGCAGCCCGCGCCCAGCACAGCCCGCGCCGAGGACCCCGCGCGGCGGCGGGAACGGGCGTGAGGGGAGAGCGGGGTTCGGACCGAGCGTGTGAGGGGATCCGCTCCTCTGTGTTTTCTGGGGGAAAACACACACTTTCCGTGCCTCCACAGCTCCTGAGTCCGCCCCTTCTCCTTCTGAGAATATGTTGGTGGCTGCTGCAACTGAATGTGACTGAGGTCTCCGAGATAACGATGCTCCTGCCTATAAAAATTGGAAACTTGAGGAGGACCTTTCTAAACCTAGATTTCTTCTGAGAAATTCCTCACTAGGGTTACTGTTAACGACAAGGATAGACTGAGAGATGAATCATAAACTTTTATTTTCCTATCTTTATTACAAAAACAATGTAAACCATGGCTGTCCTGTTCCTAAAACGGAATCAGTGGAGCTTTTAGTTTGGACATGTTATCATGAGGAGGAACACAGCTCTCAGCAGACAAACACACCAGGCAGCGAAACATCACCAGCACTGGGCTTCAGATAACATAAGAAGTGTGTGGGTGCTTTGTGGTGAATGTGATACAATCCTGCCACAAAGGAACAAAACCTGAATAAATGTGGATTTGTGTTCTCCCAGAAATCATCTGAGTGATCAGAACAGCCACTTTTTACCAGTTTGGGTGTGTTTGAATCCGCCATCAGGAAGGCAGCCACAGCTGAGTGGGGTCTGTCCGTGTTACCCTTTGAAAGCATTTCTGGAGCACAGCTCTGCAGAGACAGACCTGCTAAATAAACAGCTACATTGCTACAAACTGCAGCCCCTGTATTAATCCCAGTTTTCAGTGGGAATGGTCCACTTCCTACCGATTAATGTTACACAATAATCATGGAATCACAGAATGATTTGGGTTGGAAGGGACCTTACGGGTCATTTCACTCCACCCATGGGTAGGGACACCTTCCACTATCCCAGGTTGCTCCAAGCCTCATCCAACCTTGCCTTGGACACTTCCAGGGATGAAGCAGCCACAGCTTTGGGCAGCCTGTACCAAGGCCCATCACAGGGAAGATTTTTTTCCCCAGTATCCAATCTAAACCTACCCTCTGTCAATTCAAAGCCATTCCCCCTCATCCTGGCACTCCCTTCAGGTCCTGGAAGGCCACAGTTAGGTCACCCCAAAGCCTTTCACAAAAAAAAAGAAAAACAAAAAAAAACACCCTCTTTGATTTCTTTGAAGGCTGTCCACAAGACACACAGTAGTTACCACATTACTTACAAGCAAATTTTATTGAAAACAAGGTAAAAATCACTGCACTGGACAACACAGCGTGAGAGGTCTGTTTTCCCGGGACACACGACACCCAGACTCCAGCCAGCAGAGCAATGACACAGCTCCCCTGCCCCACAGCCAAGCCCATTTCTTCTCTTAAATACAAGCCCTGTTTCAAATGCTGTAGCCACGATTACAAAGCAGCTTGCATCCAAAAACAACATGTTAGAAATCACTTATTAAGCACCAGCTTAATAATATTTGCTAAGACAACTTATCTTTTTGCTCTCCCTCCCTCTTATCACTCATTGACAGGTTTGGGGTTTTTTTTTTTTTCTTTTTTTACTTCATAAGCACTTAATTCTTCTTGGTACAAAATGTATCCAAAACAAAGGCAAAAGACTTGAACATCTTGCTGTGGAAATGTTTAAAGTTGTCACCCCTTTGCTTCACTGCCCAGGGCCTGAGAGACTCTTGTTCATGAACTGCCTCTTCACAAAGCAGATCCACCACTGCAGAAGGAAGTACAAAGTCAGAAAATATGCAAAAGTGGTTTCCATTGACTTTGAAGTATTCAATCTCTGATATATAACGCATGTTAAGGCTCCAGTTTTACACATAGTTTTCCACACTGGTTTCCACTGGAGTTGAGGTGAACGAGACAGTAGGAATGGACACAATGACTTCATATTACAGGACTTTGAATTAAAATGGGAAACTCTCTTATTTATCTTACTTTTTCAATATTTTATTCCAATACAGTCATAAAGGAGGGATGCATTGGAAAGCTATGCCTTTGAAACTAAATTACCCCAAATAATTTCAGTATTAAATGCAGACACATTTGCACATGAAACATGTGAACAGTCAGGAGGTGACTCATTCATCGATTAGCAATTTTTTTAAATCTGGATATGAGGCAAAACAATCAACTTCAAAGCAGCTCTCAAATCAGAGCTGCCTGGGAAGAGAAACAGCACCTCCTGTGCTTGTGAACTTCCATTTGCAACCCCAGCCAAGAGCAGATGTGCAGTGCTTTGAAGAGCTGAACCAGACACTTCTTATTACTGCCCTGCTTTTGAAAGCAACCCAAATTGGCGTTCAGTGTCATATTACATTAGATTAAATTTATTGGTAACTTGCAGCTGCCATTTCACTGTAGTATCAGTCAGGCTTGGCTGAAATTACCCACCCCTGATCCTCACGCCATCGTCTCACTTCTCTCCACACGTGGCTGAAAAAACACCCCAAACCTCTCACTACCTCTGTGATGATGCCACTGAACTCTTACCTTGCTTGGCTTGTCACTCTGAGGATCAAATACTTTGTCACAAAGGCGAAGGCCGGTTTCTTGCCTCAGCTGCTGCAGGTAGGCCCTCATCACCTCTGAAAGCAGCACAGCAAAACCAGGGTGAACTGGGGAGCACCAACTCAAACTGGATTTAACAGGGAGGCATCAGACATCACTGCCTAGAGCAGAGAGGGAGTTTTACATCTGCAGGTACTCCCAGCTGGCTGAGTTAGTTTGCTCAATTTATCTATGGATCCAGGAGAATCTCCAAAGTCAGAAAATCCAGCTTGTGCTGCCTTCAGAAGACAGACTGCATATTTTAAAGATATAGTTTCAACAGTAATTTTTCTAACTGCTGTCACAAAAATGCAGTTAATAAAGTGTGAGTCCAAGGCAGCCATCGGAAGCCCTGGATCAGCCTTACCTTCCTCCTGCTTGTTGGCAGGTTTGGCGTAAATGGCGTTGAGTGGAAAGCCAGGCTCCCCTGGGATTGGGAAGTTAGTGATTCCTAGCGTGTACATTTCCTTCTCTCCTTGGCCTTTGGAGTTACACTGAACAACAAGGCAAAAAATAGATTAGCACAAAAACTGGGAGAGCATTAGACCCAAATATTTTACAAATCTTTAACATGAAAACTCATCAAGAAGAGCAACACAGCATATCCACAGCCTTGGAGTATCTGTGGCTCTGACAACTGGGACTGGGGTGAAGAGGATAATTTGTGCCCCTGGAGAGTATCAGGAAATCCTTTTCTAAGAACAATCCTCAGAACAAACTATTTCCCTCCTGCACAGAAATTCAGTTTCCTTACCTTCTGCAGCTTTTTCAGGCATTCAGAAATGTAGAGGGTTACATAGATCAGTGTTCTGTCAGCCTCGTTCTGCAAAACAAGAGCAAAAACTCTCAGATTACAGGACTTTGTGCAACTGATAAAAGTCTGAAACAGAAATCAATTCAAGCCATTTTGAACTATAGTTTCCCCATGAGAGAGAGATTTGCAATTCATGACATTTACCCAACTTTAAAGATTAAGTGGAAGGGGAGATTTTGTGATCCAGTAGAATTACTTCCTTGAAAATAAATTGATATTCACAGCCGCAACCCTCCAAAGAACTAGTATAAGCTCAGTATCTGAAAAAATTACCTTAATTTCATAATTTTTGAAGAAAACATTAGCTTTGAAGTAGTAGATGGCTTCATCTATAATATCTGTGTCCTTAGCTAATGAAAGAGAGATACAGAGTTAAGCAGTGCACTGTTATACTACATTTGTCACAACTTCTACTCACTGAAATACATGAATAAGGATTATTGCAAAGGCACAACCTTGGTATTTACAAAAAGCAGAAGTCAGCACCATGTAACAGAAAACATGTGAAACACTGAGCTCAGATTGTAATATTTAAGCTTCCTACTCCCTTCTCCTTCCCCTGTGATATGTCACTTCACAAAGAGCAGAAATTCAGCAGTTCCTCACTTTTCTACCAGCTGAACAACTCATCAGTTTTAACATTATAAAAAGATACAAAAAACCTTTTTGGAGGAAGCAGACCAGCACAATCACTCACATTTCATTACCCTCTTCAAAAAAAAAGGAGGGGAGCAGAACACAGTGACAAGCTGACTTTAGCTATCATCCAAGACTGCTTAAACCCAGAAACACTTCCTTTACATTCCCCTTCTCAAACTGAACCACCACATTTCTGGGGAATATCATGCCTGGAAAATTCACGTGCTGAAATGGAATTTGTACCAGATTGCCTGCAGACCCTGTTGGGGTGTCTGTAACTTCATTTCAATTTTTGAAGCCCCCTATCCTGAAGTGCTGCTGTCCCACTCCTTATCCCTTAGAGCAGCCGAGCATCTCCAGCCACAGCCCAAAGTGCGATTTCTCTGCAGCTGAACCCCCACTTCCTCTGACACAGAAGTTTCACAGTATCACAATCTCCTCCAAACCCTCCTCAGGAGAGACACGGGGATAAGCATGAGAACAGCAACCAGAGGCTTGGAGAACCGAAACTACTTTTCAGCAGAAGCACAGAGCATATTTATCTGTGCATAATTATTTTCTATAATTTGCACAACTGAAGTAGTTGAAAACTTCTTTCCTTCCCCTCTAAACTACAAAGCCCTCAATTTCCCTTCTGTGACTCTTTTTGTCACTCCTGCTGGGTGTGGCTTAGAGCAACCCTTGAGATGATGAACCACATCCTTTTAGAGATTAAAATAAACTTACTTTCTCGAGGTGCTGGGCCCTTGAACTGGCTTCTGATGGGTAACAGTGCCATGTTCCCAACTAGCTTGGTGTCTGAGTCCATTAAAGTGGAGTGGTAAGCCTAGAGACACAGAGAGCTGGTTATTGATCCTACTGAAAACAGACATTTCCACATCCAGTAACATGTCCCCCATGTCTTCATCAATGAGGAGTCACAGCCTAGCTCATTATGATGCTTCCAGTATTTTTWYCTTGCATAAACAAYTGCTATTTTCTATTYAGGCCCCTTGGTGCTATTCTGRTGAATACCAGGAAAGCACCACCACKGCCAMYAYTTGCAGTCACCGTGGTGGGAGATGGGATAAAATGTTCTGTTGGTCTGCAGGCCACAGCCTGACCTCAGCCTGGCAGCACCAAGGGGGAACAGCCCCGCTCACCTGCCTGAGTTTTGGGGCACTGGATAGAAAATTAGCTGGTTATTAAAAAAAAAAAGTAATTTATTTCCATGTCTGGAAATTAGATAATTATAAATAAAGCCAGGTTTAATGCACTAAAAAAAAAAAAAAAAAAAAAAAAAAAAAAAAAAAAAAAAAAAAAAAAAAAAAAAAAAAACTAAAAAAAAAAAAAAAAAAAAAAAAGTGGGGGGCTTTCTGTGCATTCTGCATTCACTGATTCAAGTGAAAAAACAGCTTTCTGCATATGACAAACGGATTTTTAACCACTAATGAGTTTAGTTTTAGGCATTTTTCCAAAGGTTTCCTGGGTGCTGTGCCAGGCCACTGGGATCCCTCACCTCCTCACAACCCTGCTTTTGTGGGGGACAGAAAAGGATGTGACTGGGGCAGGGTGGGTGTGAAAAGCAGTTTATTTCACTGAGGGGAAGGCACTGTGAACAAAGCCAGAGCAAAGCACTGGTGTGACCACCCTGTCCCCCACTGCTGCCGGGGCTCGCACCCTCCCGGCTGCGGGTGGATCCCTGGCAGGGCGAGGAGGAGGAAGAGGAAGAGCAAAGCGCCGGCCTTGCAGCAGCCTCCCATAAAGAGCCATTCCCCGCTCTCAGCAGCGCTCCCCGCAGCTGCAGCCCCTCTTTCCCCCCGCAGTGCTCACGGCCAGACCCCGCAGCAGAGCCCCCTCCCCGGCCCGGCTCATCCCCGCCGCCCCCGGCCCGGCCCCGCCGCCCTCCTGCCCGCAATGCCCCGCCGGGACCGGGCAGCGCCGGCTGCGGAGCCGCTCACCGGCATCTCGATGGGCAGAACGCGGCTCGACGGAGCCGGGCAGGAAGGGAGCGGGCAGAACCGGCCAGGAAAGCGGGCACTGAGCTTCCTCCTCCGCCTGCGCTGCAGGAAATGAGGCAGCGGCAGAGGCGGTGCGAGGAGGGGAAGCGGGAGCCGCGCACCGCCCCGGAGGCAGCGCACCGGGAAGGGATCCCGGGAGGTATCGCTGTATCCGGACACTGTCCGCACGGGAAAAGTCATGGGGAGGCACTGCTGGTGCCGAGCAGGGATTCCGGGAGGCACCGCTCTGCCAGGGCACTGCTGGTGCCGAGCAGGGATTCCGGGAGGCACCGCTCTGCCAGGCACTGCTGGTGCCGAGCAGGGATTCCGGGAGGCACCGCTCTAGCCGGGCATCGCCCGCACGGGGATGCTCTCCGGGATGCTTTGCTCGCAGCTGTTTTTCTCTCCTGTGCGTTTCCTGCACCGCCCAGTGCGAGGGACACTTCGTGTAAGGAAGCACAAGAGGGGGCCAAACGTGTTATTTTTAAAATAGACATTCCTATCAAGCTATTACCTTCCCTGTGACCCAGCGTGCTCAACTTGTCCCCTGGTCCCTGACTAATGGCATGAGTCAGGGAGACAAAATGGGGAAGTTGGGAAGGTGAGTCACAATAATTCAACTGCAGGGCTGGGGTTTGTCCTTTCGAAACACCCTAAGCATGACATGTCTCAAAGCCAGGCTGGAGGTGAGTTAAACCACCAAAGTTGCCCCAAGTTTTGAATGGTTTAATTCAGCCAGATCAAGATGTGCTACTTCCAGATTTTGTGAGCCCTTTTCCTCTAAACATGTCTGTTGAACCTCTTGCCCAGTTCTGGCTCTGCTTTTTTGTATGTAGCACTGGCCCATGTATTTTATAACACACAAGCATAATGAAAAAACAAAATATTTATTAAAGTAGTTACGAGGTCATATAACTCATTCTTCACTATAAATATTTGTTATTTTACAGATAAAACATCAAGTGTGTTTGTGTAGGGGTTGGGGTTTTTTTTTATTTTTTATTTTTTTTTACAAAAAACAAAGTATTTTCCTCCCAGTTTGAACACCTTTTTTACTCATTCACATGATCTTGAAAATATTCATCCACAAGAGCAGATTTATCTTCTTCGCATTCCTGTCAATAAAACCAGAAAAATATAAATCTTTTTACATAGGTCAAAATCTAGATCCAAATATTCTGCAGGACAAAAGAGAAAAAAAAAATGAACTTAAAAATTGAATAAAAGCACAGGACTTGTTCCTTAGAATATATGAGCTGAATAATAAAACTAGACAGACGAACAGATTTTGGCAGTTTTCTATCATGCATTTTACACAAGAGACTTTATTTCTAATTTCCTATTTCCCATTACAACTTATATTGTGAACACTTTCTAATTTTTCATTTTCTCCCTTACCTTTGGTTCTTTAAATTCCAAATCTTCTCCATACTGAATGGTGAAGTCTATGTGCTGCAGAACTATGTTTATACTTTCCTCATCAGAGCGATCCAAAGGCAGAAATCGAACCATACCATAGTCATCAATCTATAGAAAGATTCAAAGTATGTTGAAATTTATATTTTTTATAAAATTTAAAAACTGACTTAAGAGGCAAAAGGTGATAGCAAATTTAAGGGTACCAGCTCAAAAGCAATATACCTACCAATCCACATATGGATTTAGTCAGTTTTTTAAACCTTTTGCTTCTCAGTATGTTTGAAGAATCTTCAATCATAGAATACATATCTGGATCCAAGTACCTGAAAGAAACAAAGTCAGCATTAACACTGAAAGTCTGTCATTCAGAATGACACCAAAAAATCAAGGTAATTACTTACAAGAAAAACCCAGAGATTAACACAAACATGGAGCTATTCTTTTGACTAAACTAACCATCCCACCCCGATGTTTACAGGCTATTGTTTCATATAAATGAAATCCATTTTCTCCCTTTCCAAAAGAGTATGTTTTAATTGTGGGAAAATGAATTTTCAGTGAACTTTGCCTCAATGTATTACACCACAGAGCAAAAAATTTTTTGGAACTTACTTTTCTATTTCCTTCTTGGCTTTCTTGCTCAGCAAATCCATTTTGGTCATGACGTTAATCTGTGGAATCTCCAAAGATATCATTGCACTGAGTGCTGCCAGAATTCCAGAAATAAACTTGAAGAGGATGAAAAATGATGTATTAAAATACAAAAAACCACAACATAAACACGCAGGACACTCAACCCCAGGCCAAATCTGGTAATGAATATATGGAACGTGGACACAAAGCCATATGAGGAATCATTCTCTCTGCTGGAAAAAGGAGGTGCCAAGTATCCCCTCTATTTTTGGAGCCTCAAATATGGATCTGCCACTGGAAAGGACATTAAGAAAACCCAAACCCTTCTTGGGATAGTTACTGCTAAATGGGGAAAGTGGCCTGGTTGTTCTCAGAATATGAGAATGCTCTCATGGAATCACAGAAGATTTTAGGAACTTGTGGAGATTATTTGGCTCCTACAATTGGTAAAAAGAGGAGCTTGCAGATAAGCTCAGGCTGCTCTGGAGTTTGCCCAGTCAAGGTTTGACTCCACAAACATTCACTGAACAATCCCTCAGTCCCTGTCCCAGTCTGACCACTCTCACTGTGCTGCTTTTCTTTACATCCATCTGGAATTTTCCTTCCTTTCATTTTCCTTTCCTGTGTCTGAGACAGCTGATGACAGCAGTCAGATCTCCAAAGTGGCAATTTTTTTTCTGGGCAAACCCAGCTCCCCGAATGGCTCAGACTTGTCGTCCTTTATCAATATGAACCTTTCCAACAGATTTCAAATGGATACCTTAAAAGATTCCACCATGAACTGAGAATCCACAAGGAAAACTCCACAGACACGGAATTCCCACTGCTGCAGCTGCTCCACCAACTGTTTCATCACTGGCAGGTGTGTGTAGAGCTCAATCTGACCTAGAGCACACTCAGGATATTAATATGAAGGAATGTGAAGCAAACAGGAACAGTTGACAGTTATATATAGACATTGGAATTGCACTTAAATAAAAACTGATAAGGAAAGCACCCTCTTTCCAGGCAGCTCTGACTGTGCAGTCACCCAGATCAGCTCAGGGTCAAGTTCATTCCTGAAACATCTGAAAATGACTCTGACAACTGTTAATAGTTCAACAAAATGTGAATTATCACGACCATCTAAAACCACATTTTCCAGTTTGCGAATTTTCCAACGCTTATGAAGTGATACCAAAACATTGGCGTGTGTTTACCTGGGCAATCAAACAAAACATAATCATCCTCCACGTGGCCAAGGCTCTCCTCCAGCCAGTTGAAGTTATTGGCAAAGTATTCCATGCAAAACACCAAGCCACCATTGGGGCCAAACCTCAAGGACTCATCTTCCATGACATCGTCCACTTCTATCAGCTCACGGATGTCTGTGACAACAAACACATCACCAAAAGCCTGGAATGAACTCTCCAGGCAGTTTGGGAGGTGAGAAAAACAACAGGACTTCACAGCAGTGCTGGGAGCAGGGGGATCTCCCCATTCAGAAGTGCAGCCAGACAAACCAGGTTATGTTCACGAAACTTAGACAAATTCATTAACTCCCAGAATACACACATATATGCTAAATAACTCCACTTCTATAACTAAATAACTCCACTCCCCGGACTTATTTGGATATGAGTAGGRGTCWTTTGAGGGCTCCCRGTGATCATTTGACAAACATCCCATTCCCCAAATTTTCTTCTTATGGTCCTGGATCCTCTAATGAATCTCTTCTCATTGAAAGGGTCTCAGCTATGTGGTCAGGTCAAAATTATTTTGTTGAGGCACACTGTCGTTGTTCTCAAAACTAAGACATCTGCCAGTGCATATTAATCACTAGTGTAGGTAAATACAGAGATTAAGCACGATCTGGACACGGCAACAGTCACTGATGTAGGGAGTTATCACTAATACAAGACTGCACTAATCTGCCATAGGCACTAAGCATTGTTTGGTATCACACGAGGTATAATTCACTGATATAAGCATCACATACTGTTTTGTTTAAAGGCTTTTCCAACAGCTTCCCCCGCACTGCTGCACGGAAATAGAGCTCGTCCAGTGACACGCCCAGGGGGCGGTTCGAGCCCAGCGGTGCCCGGCAGTGCCCGGAGCTCACCGGGGCCGGTGCTCACCTGCCATCACGGGGTAGCTGAAGAGCTCGGCCGCCGGGTCCAGGTTCACCACCTGCACGGCGCGGCCCAGCGCCTCGCAGTGCTGCACCATGGTGGAGCAGTAGGTGCTCTGCAAGGGGCACACACGGCCGTCAGAGAGCCGTACCCCCGTGTTCCCCGCCGTTCCCCGCCCGCCGTTCCCCGCTCACCTTCCCGCTGCCCGCCGGGCCCATCACCAGCTGCGCGTACCGGGGCATGGCGGCGGCGGCCCGGCGGGAAATGGGCGCTGCGGCACACCGTAGCTCGGCTGAACACGTGACCAGCACAGTGCACAGCTCTGCCCGCCGCGGTACGGCGAGCCGGCGGGGTCAATCCGTGCACGCCCCTCTCGCGAGACGGCGGCGCTGGGGCGGGCGCACGTGCGCGCGCGGTGAGGGAGCGGGACCGGGACCGGGACCCGGCCCGAGGGGCCTCCGGTAACACCGACACCGCCCCCGCCTCCTCCCGCACCGCTCAGACCCGCCTGGCGGCTCCCACACCCGCCCCCTCCCTCTCCTCCGGAGCCGCGGTTCTGCCGCCCCTCACAGGGATCCCCCCGGTGCCGGTACCTCAGCATCCTTCCGGCGCTCTCCTTTCCGTCAGCCCCGCCCTGCGAGCCCGCCCCTCCTCAGGTACCCGAACCGCATCCCCTGGGCTCAGCCCCTTCATCCCCTCAGTTCTGCCGCCCCAAATCCCCCCCATCCCGCCGTGTCCGCCATCCCCATCATGTCTGGTGTCCCAGCACCTTCTCCCCGCTCTCAATTTACCCTTCAATTTACCCCTCAATTTACCTCTCAATTTACCCCCTCAATTTACCCCCTGACCACCCCTCGTCCCGCGCCTGTTTGGGGTCTTCATGGGCACCCCAACATCCTCATCCTCTCTGCCCCCATTTGTTTCCCTACCCAGAACCCATCACCTCTGGAGCCCTGGAATTTTCCCTCACCATTCCTCTTGTACAACACCCGAAGCTTCCTCACTCGTATCCTGTTTGTTCCATCGTCCTGGGGGATTTATGTGTTCCAAACTCTTTCCTTGTTGTCTTCTAAGTCCCTTGCTTGAAAACGAGTTTGTAAACCACTATAAAATCCATTAGTGGGTTGAGTTTGCTTTCCTTGTTTTATGCTCTTTGTTTTGTTTTGTTTTTTTTTCCCAGTGTTCTCGGATCAGATTGTGACTCTTCAGGCACTGATTTACATGATCTCTTTCCTTTGCTAATATGCGAGAGGTACCTGCTCCCTCTGTCAATGTGCCACTAATTTAATGTAATATTTCACGTTGTGTTTAACCCAGTGTGTTTTGTCATTCTGTGCGGGTTCTGAAAGGTGTTTCTTCATTTTGTGCCACTTTGATTTTTTCCCCTTATCTTCTAGAATTCCAGTTATGCTCGGTGTCCTTTGTAGCCATTTTCCCTATGTTTTCATTATTTTTAACTCCCCTTTTCTTCTCTCTGATCTCTCATGCTCTTTTCACGCTTGTACCTATTTCCTCTGGGATTTTTGTTGAGATGGGAGGGATGTGACTAACCTAGCCCAGACTTTGGGTCCTGATTCTTTCACCCTGTGACCTCCAGGCTTGTGACATGGCCACAGATGTGGCTGAGCCGGTGGTCCCTGACTGCAGAGGGGACGGCAGGAGTGGTGCCAGGTCAGACGCCGATTATCCCCTCCGGGTCCTCTACTGTGGAGGCAAGTGCTGGGAATTTCCTTTTGTGAAAGGAGAGGGAGCAAGATTCTCTTCCTGCAGGAAATCAGTGAAGCCATTAACACAGAGAAGTCTTCTGAGCATTAGGATGGCAGTGAGAAATGGAATACATAACAATTAGTTGTTGCCCTGTGTTAGGAAGTATTCTTTACTCATTTGTAGTTGTGTGGGTGAAATTTAAAGGGAAGTAAATAATCTTCATGACATGGGAATGTCATCTTGCTTCAGGCTGGAATACAGTGGCAGGGGATTAGGAAATAGCCCTGTTGTGTGTGAAACTCTGCACAGTTGGTTTGGGTGGTTGTGGGGCTGAGCCCCTCTTTGAGTCATTGGCAGCTCTTGGAAGAAGGGAAGCTGACCAAACCATGTAGTTCTTAGTTCCATGAACCTTTTCCCTCAGGTAGAAATGATCTTTTTATTTTGTAGCTTTTCCCAGCCTTGGGCATCTGCTCCCCTTCCCTCAGTGACTGCAGCTCTTGCTGTGATGGTTTTATCCTAAAGCAGAGCGTGTAAGCACAGGCCTAGTGAGAGAAGAATTAAAATGTGGAGTGTCAACAATAAAGTAGTGTTTTTGAGTCAGTGTGTGTTTCTAGCCAGAAGTTATGTAAGAAGTCATCCCTCACTTTAAAACACCATTTGGAATTTAATTACTAAGGCTGTAAGTAAAAAAGTAAAGTAAAAAACTTAATTTTATAACCTGTTCTTTTTTTTTTTCTTTTTCTAGTTTGTTCGTTGCCAACAGAGGTGAGTTAATTTTTTGTTGTCCAAATTTCCTTCTGTCATATTATGTATATTTTGTTGTATTTGTGATGTATTTTGTCATTCCTCCACTAACAAAATTTCGTATGGCTTTTCTCTAGTACTGTGAATACATGCCTGATGTGACTAAATGTAGACAATGGTTAGAAAAGAATTTTCCAGATGAGTTTGCAAAACTTACAGTAGGTAAGAATCTTTTCTATTTTCTGTTACRTKYCCTTGAATATATTTAGAAATATTTSAGCTTGTCCAGTTCTTACCTCTTTYCTTTTCCTTCAGTATCATGAGAAAATGCTTTGGATGCTGTGAAATTTGTTTTATAATGTCAGAAAGCACTAAATAATCAATGTTTAGTTTTATTAATAAGATTTGAGCTTTCTTAAGGTTCCTCCTATAAACATTCATCCATGCATTTGTTTCCCATCAAAGTTAGTTTATTGCATTTTATGTGTCCAGTGTACAATGGATGGCTGGAGAAAAGATCATTAATAATGGGGAACCGATTTGTTTGCATTTGGAATTTCGATATTAACATTATCATTCATTTCTGGCTCTCTGTACAAGAGCCTTTATTGAAATTGTCTGTGTATCTTTGAGCTGAGGTTTTTCTGGATCTAATTTGTGTAAATTCTGTAATGAGGATGCAGCATGCCTCAGTCAAGGGGCTGCTGCACTTCAGCACAGTTTACTCATTTAGCAAATTATCACTGTACCTTATTTCCTGTTCCTATAAGCCTGTGGGTGTCTGGCCACTAATTTTGTTCTTTTTTTTTTTCCCTCCTTTCTGATGCATTAAAGAAAATTCACCTAAACAGGAAGCTGGGGTTGGAGAAGGCCAAGGAAATGTGGGAGCAGGAGAAGAAGAGGAGAAGAAGAAGCAAAAGAGAGGCAAGGTCTAAATAGTTGATTGTGGTACTGATTTAAGAGCAGTTTGGGGCGTCCCTTTCTCACCTGCTGGTCTGGAATTCCTTGCATTTCGGTGGTTAGCTCTGCACAGAGGACAGGGAATATCTTCCTTCCTCCCTGTGGCAGCAGAGTTAACTCTGTGGTGTGTGCCAATGGAAATGTTGGATGGGAGGGACAGGCAGGGAAAGGTGAGCTGCATCCTGTGCCCCTTTGTTCCTGTCACCGCTGTCACACTTAGGGAGCAATTCTTCCCACCCTGAAATCAGCTGGCATTTCTCCCAGAATACTCTGCCCTGTTGAGCAGCATTTTATGGGCTGCTTGCAGAGCAGAACAAAGGCTGCTTCCCTCTGTTAATGCCTCATGACTCTGCTTTTGCCTTTGTTCCTTCCACCTCTCTGTAATCACGGAACAGGATTTGGTTTTACGCTTTTAAATCTATTACCTGTGTCACCATTAGCAGCTGTGTCTCTTCCTAGCTCTATTAATGCAAAGCATTTTCAAAACCCAACTTTGGAAGATATAAAGTTATGTGGAACAATTTAAACACACTTATCTTCTATCCTAGGAGTTCTTTCTGCTGAATTAATTAACATAGTTTCCACCATAAATCAGAGTGCTGGAGCTGTTAATAT